ATGTTGGACTTGCTAAACCAAGCTTCGAGAGACTACTTCAACCTATAGAAGGACCTCTTTAGTCTACAAACCTTCTATTCACTCCCCTCCACATGAAAACTTGGACGTTGAACCATGTACACCTCCTCCCTTAAATCTTCATTCAAGAACACATTTTTAACATCAAGTTGGTGTAATTCCCAATCAAGGTTGGCAGATAGGGATAAAAAAAATTATTCAATTCATTTTTGCAACTAGGGAAAAAGTTTTAGTATAGTCCACTCCATAAACCTTAAAACCCTTTGCTACTAGCCTTGCCTTAGGGAAAAGTTTCAGTACAATCCACTCCATAAACCTTACCCTTTGCTACCAGCCTTGCCTTGTATCTCTCCACATAACCATTTTCCCTGTGCTTAATAGTTAACACCCACTTACACCCAACTATCGCTTTTCTTTTAGGAAGATCAACTAACCAAGTTATAAATTTCCAATATGATACGCCTCATAACGGGCATATCGTATCTTCTCTTTTGAATGCGGATACACCTATTTTAAGGGGTTTAAGAAAAAAACTTTATTTTATAATAAATAACATAAAAATGGGGTCCTCTTTGAAAATTAAAAAAAATAAAATTCACATTGCTCAGAATTTTGATACACCCCTTCTAGCATATCGAGGTGTATTGATATTTTAAACTCCCATGTGTATTTTTATGTAAGGCTTGAATTTCCTCCCTCATAGAATCTATCCATTCAGGTGAAAGCAAGGCATCTACAACATTTTTAGAAATAGTGACATTAGAAATGGCCGTAAGGAAAGCATGAAAAGAAGAAGACAAGTGACTACAAGAAGTGAAATGAGCTATTGAGATTTTGTGGTAAATGAACAAACACATTTATAAATAGCAATAGGAATGTCAAGGTCATCATTGCAATAGGGTTATCACTAAAAACATCAATAAGAACAATATCAATAGGAGAGTCAACAAGAACAATGGTACCTTGTGGATTTACCTCCTAAGAGCATGTTGATGTTGGTTGCATAGTCCCTAGTCTTTCCGCATCTTACACGCTTTGATGATCCCAGTGGTGAAGAAAGTGATCATGGACAAACACTTGGATAGTTGTGGGTCAAGTAGGAAGAACAAGGGAAAGGGAGAGACATCTAAGTTTGAACATGCTTCTCCTCAAGTGTAGTATTCTCCCCGGAGGAGAGGTAAGAAAGAACGATTGATTCTCAAAAAAGATACATCCATGGAAACAAGATATTGTTAAGATTTAGAGTTAAAACACTTATATATCCCTTTTGTAAAGATAGATACCTAACAAACATATAGGACCAAGCCCCAAGCTTACTGAGGAAAGAGTGATTGTGAACAAAGCAATGACAACCAAAAACACAAAGGGGAATAGAGAACAGAGGGGACTAAGGGAACAACACTTGATGTGGGGCTTGGTACTATAGGAGATAAGGCATTCCATTGATCAAGTAGACACTGGGGAGTGTATCATCCATCCAAAATTTCTTGGGAACATTCATGTGGATAAGTAAACCATGAGCAACTTCGAGAAGATGACAATTCTTTCTTCCTACAACATTGTTTTGTTGTGGTGTATTCGGGCATGAGCTTCGATGAAGAGAACTACAAGATGCAAAGAACTCTTGGAGATCACCTTTTAGATAGTCCTTGGCATTACCGGATTAGAATATTTTGATCTCAACATGAAACTGTGTAAAAACCATATGGTGAAAATCTTGTATAATTTTTGGAATTTCCTCTTTGGACTAGAAAGGATAAATCCATGTGTATTGAGAAAAGGTCATCAACAAAGCTAATAAAATATTTGTAGCTCCCTTCAGTAACAAATGAAACAAGGCTCTAAACATTAGAGTGAACAATATGGAAAGAAGATGCTCTTTTATTATTCTATGAAAAATTGATTTTACAGTGCTTATTCAATTGACATGTTTGACACTGAAAAGATGATATACTAACCGATTTAAACAAATCTAGAAACAAAACTTTTTATGGCTCAAAAGATAAATGGCCAAGATGATGATGCCAAATATAAACATCATCTTTATTATAAAGACGCACAAGGATAGAAGGTTACTGAACAGTTCAAGGAATTTGTAATACTACTAATGGATGGGAGATAAATAGGTAGATTAGGCACATGAAGACAGGTGATAAATCAATACCCATAGGAAGAAAGATTGATCCTTGACCACAATGCTGGAAAATGAACCATCAGTTAGTCTTACCTTATCTCTCTTCCAAACAAGTTATTGGAGGAAAATAGGTTGGGCTCACCCATCATATGATTTGAGGCTTTTGAGTCAACGATCCAAGGAGTGTTGGTAGTAACAAATGACACATGGAAAGTAGCCTAGTTACCACATGTAGATGCAAATGAGGTGGATGCAATAATGGTAGTATCCTCCAATCAATGCAAAACCCAATGATACTACTCAAGATGATCTTTAATGACAGAGAATTCCTTCATGGAAGACAGAAGCACTTCTTGGGATATAGAACTAGCCAAATGTTCATGAGAAGCAACCGAAGTAATAGTGTTAGACTCAAACTCCAGAAAATCTATATCTGTTGAATTATAGTTCTTGTTCTCTAGTTTCTTCTAGAATGGGAAATTCTTAGGTTTCACATATGTTCCAACATGTCTCCTTGGTATGTTGTGGTCTTTGGCAATGTGTACACCACAACTTGTCTTTATCAACTTCAACAGCCTTCTTATAACCATCTGTCTTCTTACCTCTCCCATTATTTCCCTTAACTACTATGGCAATCTACTCCTCCTGTACAGGGTCATAGCTAACTTCCTACTTTCTTCTGACGAAATGAGAGAATACACCTTTATAGAGGGTAGATCCTTACAGCCCAAGATCTAAACCCAAATAGGTTCATATGAAACACTCTTTTGTTATCTACCAATGCCTTATAGGCTTATGCATCCTTGTCACTTTCCCAGTCAATCTACAAATAATGGTCTAGTTCCTTCCAAACTGCAGTAAGGTCAGAAAAACTCCTATCACCTTGTTTACACATAGTAGATTCAGTCAACAATTGATACCGACCATGGTTACTTTGTTCAGAATAGGTTGCATTGGCATGATCCTAGATCTCCTTAGCTGTGTCTACCCACATAAAATTTTTCCTCAGAGAAGCTTGAATTGTGGACAAAATCCAAGACATAACATAAACAAATAATTTTCTTGGGCCCACTTAGCATGAGCAGAACCCTTCTCCTTAGGTTCCACAATGTCTCCACCCATGTAGCCTACTTCCCTCTCCCCCCAACATGCAACTTTACCCCCTTGGACCACTCTAGATAGTTAGTGTCATTGAAAAGAGTAATAGAGATAGGGAAGTGAGTGCTGTCCACAACGGTACTAAACACTGGAGATAAAGATGTGGTGCTTGAACTGCTGAATCTTCTGTAGCCATGATAACACTCAATTAGCTTGCCAAAACCAACCCTTTTCTTTGCCGGAAAAACACCAAAGAAGCCTATACACTTCTGCTGAACAACCCAATCACCTTGCTGGCCTGAAACTTCAGTCAAGAATGGAGCACTTACTTGCTGTATAACAGGTTAACAAAGGAACCAACCCAGGAAAAGACAGTTACCACAACCAATCAGCTGTCTCCCTTGACGTAAAAGGCAGGTTTACACCTTACAGACCTGAGAAACACTCCCAGATTTAATCTCACAACCTTGAGGCTACAGAAAACATGTTTAGCAACTTAAAAATCATTCACAATTCACTTCTATTCACAGACACTGCAAACAGATGACCAAACATCACGTGGGATACACCCAAGAATAAACTTAGACCATATTATCCAAAAAAGAGCATTCAGGACTTACCAGATCCTTATTCCTTCATCACTGATGCTTAGTCACCAAAAACTAAGCCTCACTTAGTGCTACAACCAAGGTGAAGAGAAGAGGAAAGGAAGAAAATTGTTTCAGACCAATTTGATCCTCCTTTTTTCTGTGACAGGTCCAAAAAGGAATTTTCAGGAAGTAAAGCTAGATGAAGTGTTGTCAATCACTTTTCCTGCTCTTATACCATGTAAAACATGGATCATACCTGTTACAGAGAGACTAAAAAGCAGAGAAGAGGAGGGAGAAAAGAGGTTCGAATGATAGAGAAATCCAATCATGCTGGCCTGGTGCCAGGTACCCACTTCTTTTATTATAATATAGGGTGACATAAAACAAGAGAAAAAGACACAAATACCCCTGTGCCTACATGTACTAATATTTTAACCCTAAGCTATGAAATTTCCTTGGGTAAAACCTTTTCAAGCCAAAGCATCAGACATACTATTTGCAGCTCTTGGGATCCAGCTGTACAAGCAGTTCATGTGAGATGCGAAAGGTTTAGCTTCTATTACCAAAAATAAAAAATACCAAGGCACCTCCTCCCTTGACAATAATCCAGTAAATAACCACCAGTCACCCTCAAATATAAGATTTCCCCATCAAGAAAAAAAGGCCAGCTTTCAATGCAATGCCCACACGTGGTGGTCCTCAGTACCTAAGCAATATATTCCAATTTTCCTTTTGTGCTACTATATATCATGAGAAGAAGTTGCCTAATGGAGTCAAGTAGGAAGCTTCCCTCTAATTTTTCACCTTTTTTTTCTTTTAATTTAGAAGTTGCCCATAAAAGAGAACTTATCTACAACAAGTGGCAAGGCCTTAGGGCCTAAAATATTTTTCATGAATCAAGGACAAGGAGAGTAATTCGGGGATTCCTTTTAATCCACAAACTAACTTTCTGTGTAGGAATTTCCTGCGCTGCATAGACTATTTAACTATATATAAACACTATAAACACGATGGGATATTTCCACCAAAAAAAAATCTGAAGCATTGCTCTTCTATTTAACAATGTATGGCCTTACAAAAAAAGCACAGGTAAAACATAGAAACAAAGAATAGTCTTGTGAATAAGGAATGGATGAAGGATGGATAAGACCAAAACACACCTGTGGGATCACAATAGCCAAATTGAGTACACCCATTGACAATCCTGCAAAATCCAAATAACTAAGAAACAACCTCATGGTCGAATCTCCAAGTGTATATTAAAAATTCTAAATAAATCAAATAAATGTCTACCTTGTCCTAGTCCTAAGGACTCGATACGTGTGGAGACCATAGCATAAGGAATGCTATAAGTAACCTGAAAGAAAACATAGAAGACAAAAAAAGTAGTTAGAGTTCTTAGGATGGACATTGAAAAGAACTTGAGAAAAAAAAAGGCTAGGCCAGAAGAAGCAAAGTCAGGTTTCACCATTTGGTTAGTTTTTTCTCACCTAAGATCCTAGACTAAAAAATGATGATTACACGATTAGATCAATCTAACCATCCAATCTGTGGAACTTTTTTCTGGACATTATTATATTTTCTTGAACATCCAGAAGAATGTTGAGGGATGAGATGTCCAGAAGATTCGAATTTTGGGGCCTAAAAAAATAAAGAAAAAAATCCTGGCCTAAATAATGGTAAGAAATTTCCTAGCATGTATGCCAAACATGTAAGGTACACATGGACCAAAGAGAATGTTAGGCATGTAGACTCATGGAAAAATGAAAAGCTTTTGCTATGTTTTCTTTTCATTAATAAAGAAAAAAAAAACCTTGTTCTCCTCTGGAAGAAGAGTGAGACAACTTACTGACAATGGAACACCGAGAACTGCAAAAACAGCTAGTGCAGCAATTACAACACCATAAGGAGGAAGATCACCATTGTGGAAGTGCATATTCTTCACTACAAGAGAGATTATGAGCATAGTTATTAGGCCCAAGGACATGAGAACATTTGATGTTCCCCAAACAAGACCAGACCCCCATTTCCTGCAAAGTTTCTCCAGTACAACTGAAGTCAACCCAAGAACAATAGAATTTAACATTAGACCAAGTGCACCCATTCTTACACCAATATGATAATTCTGCCCTTCATTTGGCTTGCCTTTGTAAATTTCTCGGCCCATCCAATCAGTATCAAAGAGAAGAAATGGAAACCACCCAATCCATGTCAGAGCAGTAACAATTAATATTATCCAAACTGGCCAAGAGAGGTATCTAAAAGTTCCAAACAACTCCCAAAGGAAGGCTTCTTCAGCATTATGGGACGGCTCTGGTCTTTCATCTTCAGAGATGACAGATCTACTGCTGGAACTTAGAGGCAGTTCTTGAGCTGCTGAGATGCTTATATATGTTGTGAGGGCAATAAAAGCAATGTCAATAAAAAATGCAGATTTGAGATTGGCACAATTCACACCGCATGAGGATGTCACGGTGAAGGGGAGAATGGAGTACCAGCCACTGTATGATCCCGTAGCAAACCCGAGAACATTACCAACAGCCATGAACAATGAGAAATATGCATTAGCAATGCGAGTCTTCCTTTGGTCACTCCCTAAATTGATACATGTTTGGAGAAAAACAGTTGTAAGTTTCATGCTAGTTTAATAAACTTCAACATTTCATATAGAGGGAACAGAAGCTGCACGTGCCAATGAAGGGACATGGAATAAATGATCTTTTTTTCCAAGAGAAGTATATCCAGATTTTCATTCTCATTCTCATTTTTCTCTTAAAAGGACAAAACATGGCCAGGTACTTGATATAATGTTTTACACCAATGTCATGTGGCTTCTACTTCTTTTCCTTTCTTTCCTTACCTTATCTGGTAGAGGAAAATAACTATATAAATGCTGCTATCTATTAGCTTTCAAAGACCCTTGTAGGTAAATCCATAACAATTACTATCTGTAAACAAAATAGTTGAAGTGTACAGCATATGTCTGTTGGATTACAGCTTAAGTGGATGAACTGAATGATTTATTTCTTTGTTTCAGTTGTTGAGTAATTAATTAATAAAAACATTTGAGAGTATAGTAATCAACTCATCTTCAGCTTCAGGCGTTAAGGAGCTCACAGCCTCATTAACTTATTCACTAAAGCTCAGCTTGGAAAGAATACAAATACAAATATGTTAAGTGTAAATATCAAAAATAATATGTACAGTGCAAATACATACAAAATAATACAAATTACAAGGTTTTGCACTCCACATATTTGTGATTGTACTCCTTCCAAACTAAGCCTAAAAGACAAAGCCTAGTATGCAACACTTGAGGGCAATAGCTTGCAATGGTGTTCTTGCATACTGGGGCTGCAAATGAATTAGTTTTAATCTGATTCAAACTCAAATCTGATTGGATCATTGCCAGATCTGATATCCACTTATGTATAAACAAATTGAATTGGATAAAAAATTAAATTGGTTCAGCAATAGGATCGAATCCGGATATAGGCTGATTTTATCCATTAAGATCCAATCCAGTGTATATATAAAAGACACTTATGCCCCTTTACCTGTTTAGAATTTTATTTAATGATATGCCATTTTAGTTTTAAGAGGGCCTAGATATGTCAATTCAATCATGACTGATACCTATAATCAAAGCCTATCTGATCTTTTCGCCTTCTTTTCGTTTAAGAGACTTAAATGGCTGGGGTCTTCTATTTCTCTTCATCTTCTATTTTATATTTATGAGACTTGATGAAGAATATCGACAACAGATTTGCATCTCATCTCATGACAGACATAACTACAATAATATTCTCAACTTTTGATTTTTTTAGTTTTTTTATTACAAGCTTTTTTAGTTTTCTTTTTCTTCCAATATTCTTTTTTCAGGTATTTGATCATATGATGATTACCAAAGGTTTCGGTTTACCCCTAATTCCCTACTCTTTGGTTTTTTTATTTGATCTCATGCTGACCATTGACGGTTTAGGCCCCTCTTCATCAACCAACTTGCATTACAGGTTTGGGGTTTCTCTTCTTCTTGTTTGATTTTGTTTTTCATAATTGATTCCTGGTCGATCCATGCATTCCCCCCTGTTAATGTGTTCAAAATTTATTTATTAATCTGATTTTCAGAAAGTTTCATTCTTGAGCATTGCAACTGATTTGGAATCATATTAGGTATTCAATAAAATAATCAAATCAAATTCAAATCTTAATTTTATACATCTGTAGGATCCCTTTTTGAATTCAAATCTCTCCTACTGCGTACATAGCTCAAATACAATAAGGAACAAGGTTTGAAATTTTGCAACGTACCGGTCTGCATTGACTGATATGCTGCATTTCGTCAAGGTTCCGATATATGGAACATACAGAATCTATATGCTCATTTATTTTCGTTGGTATCAGTCCGATATGGGCCTGTATCAGACTGTTCTGGGCCTATATCGGACGATACAAATCCAATACAGTCTGATACGTTGTATGTATCAGCCGATACAATATGAATTTAATATACTCCCCTTTCTTGTTTAATTTTGGCAACTTTTAAATATTAAATTTAATTTCCCTCTTTCTCCCTCAATTTTAGTAACTTTTAATTCAAACTTGATTTATATAACTCTAAATTAAGTATCACGTTTAATGGCATGCAACTAAAGGTAAATAAATTAAATACTACATTTAAGGCAATGTTCAAATTCGAATTTGAATATGACATAACACTAAATTTGCCTATTAAAAAATCACAAATAGGGGACAAAAGGATTTGAACCATAGTCATTAGTTTAATTCTTAATTAAATTCTCTTTTTACTGGATGGCAGTCAAGAAAAGCTAAAATTCATTATTAAAATATATACTAATAAATATTAATAAAATTTATATTGATTTTTACAAACTAAGGTGTGTATACACACATTTTAATTCTTCCATCATTTTTCAACCATTTCCAATTATGTCCTGATATTGCACACTTAGTATAAATCATTGAAGTATGGTTTTTATACGTTTAAATAACTTATTTATAGTCATATTAAACTCATATTTATTGTTATTGTTAAAGTGAGCCGAATAGGGGTAGTTTAGTCATCTCATGTTTGTTAAGTACCTTGCTTATGTGGCAGTTTTATTAGAGATACTCTGCCCACACTTAAGTAAGGG